AACTCGCTAAGTTTCAGCAGTTGTTCGGGTTCTATCACCCTCCTCTCCAACCTCAGGTCTCCGGTTATGGTGCGTTTCTGCTCCCCTTGCCAGAACGACATGGTGGATTTTCCCCAGTCTACCGTGATCTCACCCAACTTAGCCACCCACTAACCATCCACTCGCGAATCATGTCTACGCCCCCCCCCAGTTCAACAAAATAAAATCTCTCCATGATCTCGACGTCCCCCATGGCCCAAAAAAAAAACCCCACCACTCTCGGACAACACCCCCCACCCCCCGCGTCTTCTTTTTCGTTGATCCTCCCCCCAAACCTGACGTGATATGGGGATTTTGTCTTCCTTCCTGCTCGAGTTTCCGCTCCCTTACCAATTCTTGATAACGAAGTTTGGGCCGCGCCACTTCCCCTAGTAATCAGCACCTTTCTCTTCTCCCACTCTCCCCTGCATGCAGCTTCAAGTGTTTTGTTGAGTCAGCCCTACCTCCGCTGAGAAAGCCACAACTCCTGCATGGCGTTTCTGTCTCCGCCCCTGTCTCTTGTCTCTCCGTCTCTCCTTCATCTCCTTCTTCGTCCTCGGCCAACAAGCAACCACCCTCAAGTTCTGCTCATGACTTGGTGCCCCGGGACTAAATGGCCCCCCACGCGAAAACATCTACCCTCCTCCCCCTCCCGCTCTTCCAGTACTCCGGATACTGCAAATTTCTTGAGCTCCGTTCCGACTGTCCCCGCCGCCGTAACCTCCGCTCCTCACGGGTTCACTCCCTGGCTCCGTGTCGCGCTTTCACCGATCCCACACTCTCTACGTGTCCCGCTCGAACCATGCTACCCCTTGTTTGCTGCTCCCGTCCTCGTCACCACCCCGCTCCTCCTCCTTACTATTCGTCCCCACCGTGGGTAGTCTTCGCTGCCGTCCATTCCCATCCAACCCTAAGCCGCGAAGAGCTTCCCTCTACGGTCCCGCGCATCTTCATCGCCGTCATCAATCGCGGGGATCATGTGGTTCATCTGACACCGCAGCTCCTCGTAACCCCGCAATGAAATAACCTAACAATTGGTTATCGAAAAATTCCTTTGTCTGCCCTGCCAATGCTTCGAATTCTTTCACGTACTCCTCCACGGTAGTGGTCTGCCTAATCGCCGCTATTCTTTCTTAAATTCCCCCACGGTGGCGACTCTCGAATCGGATCAGCAATGCTTCCTCACCCCTCCCAGGTTCGATCATTTGCCTTGTCTTTCCAGAACTTACAGTAGTTCGCTCTTCCCCCATGCTGATATGAGCCATTCGACTTTCTTTCTTTCTCTCCGCTTCTTCCGCTAGCCTTCCCTGAATCTCAAGAACTTCTCCGCTCTGTTATCCAATACAGAGGATCAGGTTCCTTCGAATATGGTAACTTCCACCCTCGTCTCCAATTTAAAGCCTTGTCTTATCGCTCTCCCTCTCTTCCCCTCCTTTCGTTCTCAGCTCCCTCCTCGCCGCCGGTTCCCTCCATTATATGGTTCACTGAATCCTGACTTTCATCCGAGCCTGATTCCCCTTGGCTGTTACGTTTCCCCATCAACCGTAACAATTCTTGAATATCTTTGCGCATCGCGATCGATTCTTGGCGATTCGCTGCCGTCTCTGCCTTCAAACCGTCGACCGCCAACTCCAGGTGCTCCATCTTCCCCTCAACCTTGACCATTCTTCCCTCCATCACTCGCGCTTTCCTCCGATCTGATCCGGCAGGTCGGACCACTTTGTTAGGTATTCAAGATGAAATCCCTAACGAGCTCTCTAACTCTCACTTACTTACACCAACACGGAGCAAAATAGAATGAGAAAGAATGGAATTGCATTCACACCAACAAATCAAGAATACAATGTACACAGGAGCTTAACCTCCTTCACCTGGTACTAAGACCAGTCAACTACAAACAAGTCACTAACTAACTTTCAGAAACAAATACAGGGTCCTTATATAGACCCTGTTCCCGCCCTCTTAACTGTTATTCTGTTAGATAACAGTTAGGTATTATTCCTCACCCTTCTCCTCTCATAAACCCTTCCTCACCCTTCTCCTCTCATAAACCCTCCAAGGCCTAACAAATTATCTCATTTTATTGACTTTTGAATATTTTCATTCTCTGATGGCGGAGGTACGGTAGGAGATGAGTATGCTGCATGATAAGAGGAGGAAAGAAGTTGTGCCGCAGCAGGAATAGCACCACCTGCATTATGTCAATGAAACTTTTATCAGCATGAAACAAACTTCACCCTTTGTCCTGCTATAAATGAAGACTTCCAATACTTGAATTGAATTGTCAGATGATAACATGATAAAAACAGGTTATGATTCTTCAATAATTAACGCAATAAAAAATAATAAGTTCACGGTTTCAATCAAGAATCTAGACTATTCAAATGTACAAATAGAATGGCTAGCACTCCATAGAAACAGAAAACATTTTAAGTAGGTGTTGTCATAAAAGTTTTTTAGTTCTCAACACAACTAAGTCTTGTAGGTGTTTTTTGTTTTCCCAAAACTTTCCCTACAGAGTTACGAATTCAGAAAACAGAACACAGAAGGAGTATTATACACATGCCAGCAAAAAACATCAAATTCAGAACTCACCTGTCAGTCCTGCGCATGCTGAAGAGAAAACTATCACAGGGGGTGCCTGAATTACAGAGAAGTTATGTCAATAAGATGGTAAAAATGTTTTGACTGCATTAAGAAGGAACACAGTATTCAAACGTACAACTTATTAGTGAAAAACTCTAAGATGCTTCATCATCTAAGAAGCTTAATTCTTTCCCGATGATATTGCAAAATATACTATGAATGCCCCCAATGGCACAAATTACACAATTAGACGGAGAAGAATGGGTCCAGCTGAATTTACAGGTAATAGAAAAATACTAATCTTGTTTACCTGGAAACCAACCAATGATGTATGCACCAAAACAAGACTGATACAAAATGGAAAACAATGATGATCCAAGATGGTGCAGACAAACAACACCAGCAGTTTTAGAAATTGTGAACAAAATTTTTCATAAAAAAGAGTTCAAAGTGGATGGAGAAAGGTGACTTTTAGAAGCCGCTTCAAGAACATAACAAAAGCCAAACCCTCCCACAACTCTTCCCAACAATATTGTTTCCCCTTTTGTTTACTGAAAATAAACTATCTATCTGGTTCAAAACTTAGCTATCAAAGAATTCTGTAAGTAGAAAACACAACCAGAATTAACTAATAATCAGTGAATCTCCTGTTTTAAGTTCTATTTATACTTTATGATTCTTTTGCAGATAATAAAATGATATAAGTCATCTCACTTCTATTTAAAATGACAAAATGTGTTCAGATCATCAGAGAAAGCAAAGGAGTCTGGGTCACGAGGGCTGTACCTTTACCAGTGTATGAAAGTTACAGGGTTATAGTATCAGTTAACTGTCTCATGATGTCACAGATATATAATAATTTCAATAGCTAGCGAGGATTAGTTAGGGGACAAATGGCTTAACTTTGTACATTTAAGAATTTACATAACTTTGCCAACTACAGTACAGCGTCAGTTTATTAGAAGGTTAACAAGAAAGAAGTGCAGTCTCTTGGTTAATAATCTTTCCCTGATTTCTTATTAAAGAAGAAAGGAAATGTCAAAGTTCATAACTATTTAAAAGAACATAATATGACGAGCTGAAGTTATACTCAGAGTTAACTATTCAAAGATTTACATCTCCTAAGCATTGAATACGAGGAAAAACCATGAACTAGTGTTATGAAAAGCAAAAAATTAGCAAAAAAAACAACGAACAAAAACTAAAAGCAACAGATATATATATATATA